ATCGCAGACAAGGGCAAGACTACAAAACTATAACATACTTCAGTGGAATATAGGCACAAAATCCTGCTTTAGTGGGTTTCAGAACATAGAGTACCCACTTGTGCCAAAAGTCCTTAAACGGGTGCATCGTTGTCCCCTACAAAGGTTCAAAAATCGGGAACACTATTTGTTTCTAAAGGTAGATAGTAAATGCCTAGGAAATTTCACGAAAAAAGACCTTTATAAAATGACTCAATAAACATAAAGACCTTCGAAACCTCTAAAGCCCAAAACCATCCTAAAAAAAATCACCAGGTTTTTTTTCCGTCTACAAAACGTCACTTATTGACGATGTCAAGTCGTTCTAATAAGAAAAAACCAGGAATTTCCATGACCAAAAAACCAAAACAGAAGATTCGTTGTACCGAAAACTTCTTGTATCGATTTAGCCAAGATCCTCGGCGGTATACAAAACCATTTAAACAAAAACAAGTGATGTGACCATGATGCTGGTCAAGGAAGGGCACTGTGTGAAGGAACTCCCGACGTCTACAACATGTAGTTTGACAAATCAGATCACAAACCACAGTTACAAACGTTGGCCATCATTTACTGTGAATGCCATAAATATATTCCAACGTTTTTTTAGCAGCAATCTTGGAGCAGGATTTTGGCAAAAACAAATCATGGCTACCAACAAATAATTACAAAGGCCCACACTTTTTTCTAAGGTTCCAGGCCCTTTACGTTAAGTAGAAACAGGATATTGTAATAATATCTATTAATATGTAAAGAAGTAACAGTCCTCTATACAGTATCTTGGACCAATTAAGGTGACTATGTCAGGCACTGCAAAGAAATAGAAGTAATGCACTAAATAATGAAATAATTTCAACAAGGCTTTAGTAAAATCACTCAAGGCCAACAGGTTCACTGCTGTGTCAATAACATCCGATCAACCTTTAGAAATAGCTCCAGTAGGGTTGAGAATGTATTTTTATTTAGCTAAAAAGGGACATGCTGTTAAAAGTGGAAGCCAATTTAATGTGTGATATCTTTTCCTATACCAAAAAGATCACACCTGTATTCGGTCCGTGTTTTAGCCATTTTACTCTAAATCCCAAACCTGGAACATGTTGACCATTTTTCTAAGGTAATTCATAAGGCTTTTTTTGTCAGCTACCATAGTGTTGCATGGTATCGCATTGGAATTACATATGTGAAAGGTTAAGGTCACACGAGTTATGCATTTTAAAAATTCAAAAGGCAATTTCTTTTCACATGTATTAGGAATTTGGTCGTCTATTACATAACATATGGTGAATTGGTTCAGCTAAATAGAGAATCTTTTTTTCTGATTTACAACAGTGTGTAAATGTAAATCCCTCCTTTACTACAAATACATTCTCAACCAGTGGAAAACACTGATCATCCCCTCATAATACACTTGAATGGGCACCTACAGGTATACAAAATGAAACCATCTGAATGTTGCCATTTTATAAGTACAACTTTCAAAGGCTAGGCTACATCAAGGCCAAGTCAAAGACCAATAAATAATATAACTATGGAATTAATAAAACAAGGCTGTCCAATAAAAGTTGTTTTTTGTTCCATCACTTGTGCTGTCCGCGGGCAAAGTGGCAGGCGAAGTCATACTTGCTCTTGCTCTTGTGGCCGCAGATGTTGCACTGGAATGGTTTCTCGTAGCCGTGGCAGCCCATGTGGATAGTGTAGAGGATGTTGTCGGGAAAGTAGATGTCACAGTGCTGGCAGTGATGCAGCATGTGGAGGTCCTGGAGTGGGACAGACAGGCCTGGGGCCGGCGTACTGGGTTGGCTGTTGGAGACACTGGGGGTACTTGTGCGCCCACTGTGCTCGCTGCAGGGTCCCCTCCCAGGGCTGCAGGTGATGTGGGGGGGGCCCCTGGGCTCTGGGGTGATTGGGGACGAGCAGGAGGCGTGGGCCATGCTGGCTGAGACAACTACAGGAGCTGTGGCAGGGTGGGGCTGCTGGATGAGGAAAGGCTTCTCATCAACGATAGACTCTGCTCCTGGAGACATGGGGGGTTGATTCTGGGCCTGGGACTCTGAAGGGAGACTCGCCAACTGGCCTGCCAGGGTGGACAGCTGATTCAGAGGGTTTTCCATAACCATGTCTTGGTGATGGTGATTTGTGGAGTGCCCATCGTCGATTGTGCGACCCTGATTATCATACGACTCTTGGCGTAAGTGGGGCAGCTCATGGGAGAAGTCGTTCACATTGTCAGCTTTGTGCACCACCATAGAAGGGGGGCTGAAGTTGATGAGGAGCCGGCGGCCATAGCCCAGTGAGCTGGCTTTCTTCTGTAAAACACTCAGCATCTTCTTGTGGGAGAGTGAGCGCGCACCTTTCATTGGCAGCAGTTTGTGGCGTCGACGGCGATGGTGCGACAGGTTGCTACGGTCACTGCAGCGGAAAGAGCACAGCTCACACTTATAAGGCTTCTCGCCCGTGTGAGATCGCATGTGGGCCTCTAGGTGGCGCTCATAGGCCGAAGCAAATGGGCAGAGATGGCAGCGATGAGGTTTCTCTCCTGTTTGAAAGAGAAACACAGACTTAATAACAAAACAATGTCAATGACATTCCCTGAAACTAAAGTATCATCACTTACCTGTGTGAATTCGGATGTGCTCAATGAGTCTCGCTGTGCCTCTGGTAGCATAGTTGCAGTAGCGGCACTTGAGCTTTCCATCATAGGTCCTCTCAAAACCATCCACTAAGATCCCTGAGCTGTCCTCCAGAGACATTTCCACTGAGGGGTGATCCAGTCCATTCTGACCACAGTCTGCACAAGCACATAAGCAGGATCTTTTATAAAAATGAAATGTCACCCCTTACAAAATCTAATTATATTCAACTATCTACTGAAAAAATATTTAGGATGGAATTCTTTTTTTTTAATGACCTCTATAACTGCTTTAGACTCAATCCTACAGCTGTCACTCCTGTTGGTTGTAAAATAACATATCGTATTATACTTTAGTAACATTTGTGCATTAATGCATTGAAACACCGATTTATCATAGACTTATTGAAGGAATATGTAGATGACCATGCCTGATAACTAGATATTTGAAGTCAGATATCACATAATACGTATAGGTGCATCTGTCAGCTGCTGGTCTAGATAAAACTGTATCAAATACCACCAAATCCAGACACAACTGCTGAATATTGCAAAAATGTTAACAATAAAAGACAGATATCTGGTTACCTGGTGGCAGCTCGTCCGCCTCCTTGACGCCGCTGACAGAGCCTGATATCATGTTGACATGCTGGGTCTGCTGGCTCAGATACTCCTGGAAATCCTTCACAAAGTCAAGCGTGTCTGGCTTTTCTTCGCCCATTGAAAGAAAGTGATGAAAATACCCAACACTACAAACACGTATTGACTTTAATTACTGAAGATCGTAAGTGAATTGGCATGAGGTCCGAAAAATGTAGCTAAGACGTTATTTGAAAAAGTCACAGTATCACAATAGCTGAATTTTAAAGACCACATGCAGATAACTTGGTTAGATGAAGGCAGTTTTGTTTGTTTTGGTTTAGAAAGCCGTGTCGACTGTGTCCAGACACACAGACATGATAATCCTGGAGATGTGTGATTGACAAGCAGGAAATCGGGGCGATCCAATGTCTGGTCGGTCGCTCCTACACACCGCTCCCCATCACCGTCATGTTGTTACCAAAGATACGCTACCAGACAGCTAACGTTAGCTTATCTTTGAGAGAAAAGCATCTTTGTCAACAACAGCGCCGCTATCAAGTCGACACGGTCATTATTAACACAGACTGTACGCGTTTCAGTAAATCCCAATGAGTGCCACTTGTTTTATGGGGTTTTTCACCCGAGGTGCTTGCTTCAATTCACGCGAAAAGACAACCTGTTAATCAAAACAAAAAGGCAGGGTGAAAGTTCATTTACTGTGCGTCGGTGAAATCATTCCCGCCAAAAACTCGATGTAACTGCGAAGAAAGGTTCCTATCAGTAACGATCTAACTTGGGTTGACATAAAACAGTGATACAGTTGAATATATTGTATGAAACCGACAAAATATTATTATCCAATGCTTGTGAAGTGTACAATGAATCGACAACGAACTTACCTGCCGGTTATTCGGTCTCCTGACACAGAAAACCGGCAGTGTTAGTAGCCGTCAAGGCCTAAAAACGGATCACAGTATGGGTAAGATACAGTTAGTTATAATTAACATAGTATTTTTTAAAACATAGACTTCAAGTTTTGGAATTGTATCAAGGCGTCGAGTTAAAGTAGGTTTAAACAATTGTAAGAAGCTGTGCTTTCCAAAAGTCTACAAACAAACATTTGTTTGTTAGCTAAAACTCATCGGTTACAAATTAGATACTTTTAGCACCGCTGAAAGATACACTGTTTAATTGCCTTTCTGTTAAATATTATGCAACTTTGTTACTGATTATTTTCAGAATTCATTCAACCAAGTCTGATGAATGCAAACATTTTGGTTGGTATCTGCTCTTTAAATGTAAGGGTTTATTTCTGAAGGAACTTTTTTTTGGACAGCATATTGGGAATTAGTGATTTATGGATTCATACTGTCATTGTTTGCACATACGAGCTCAGTGGTATTTTTTTCACAGACATATTGAATTGAAACACTGCTCTCTTACAAACTAATAAACTAATGAAGTTAACTTAGCATTTCTACTCACATCAGTGACATGACAGACTTTCAGATGTGCAGTTTGCAATTATGCACTAGTGGTAAATGAGGCACAACAATTGCATTACTTTCAAAAGCTATTGACTCATTCATGTTTTATCACAATCAATAATTTACAAGTAAGCGCTTGGGGAAGATCGCATTGCCCCATTTGTGTCAAAGTTGTAGGAAAACCATTGAGTTGAAAATGATAAACGACCGAGCTCTGGTATCTATTTACTTCGTTACACCTGCTACTGTCAGAGCAATAGTATTCCATCACTAATGTAGACAAGGTAATTCTTTACTTTGTAACACGAGTCACATGTTTGCTGTTGAAAATTAATCTACCTAATAACTACACTTTATTCTATGTAGTAATATTGGCATCTGTATGAGCTGTTTGTGTGTCCATTTAGATAATTTCAACAATTTTAACTTACTTTTCTTACATTTTTTTTACAGGTAAACTTGGTCCTGCATGAACACCTGCTGCGGCCTGGCTTCATGTTGATGTGTGTACACTTCAACATCTGGACACTAGATGGCGCACATGACTCAGTGGTGAAACAGGTACTTCCCATTCTGCCAGACACTGTTTTGAGGCTCCACATGATACAGGACACAAAGCTTAGACATGTAGGCTTGTACTGTTAGTAGGGCTTTTTCTCTGACTTATCAAGATTACACAGAACGTGGCTATTACTGCACAGACATGGAGAGCTCAATGTACAGGAAGAGAGTCCCGTCTGTCAGCTGCCAGTCCCCGGGGACAGCATGTACAGGAGCGCTGGAAGACATGACAGTCGACCCCATCAGTTGAACCATGACCACAGTGAGCGGCCAATTACATCACCTTCTAACAGCCTGTCCAAACTAATGTTATTTTATTGCAATTTAATTATGCTCAGGTTTCCACCAGGGCCAGATCCTGTTGAATAATTTACACACAGCCACAATGATTTGTCGCATGGAAGAGAAAAAGTGCACACTTCCCTGTGCTCTCTTATGTTTCAATAGTTTTGTTTTATGTTATATTATTAATCATTAATACAATATTCTTATGTTGTATTTCCAACTAAGCATTACATGCAGTAAGAACTGATGAAGCTTTTATAATGAAGGGCAGATTTATTAAGACTTAATATACTTAAGGGGAATAATTGGTTAAATGTAATTCTGCATTAAAGACATGTCCACCGCACACTATATTAAGCTGTTCTTTTAAAGGGCAGTGAGTATTTATTAATGAGACCGAGAGCAGGTAATACTCTAATAGGGCTTACTGAGGCTGGCATTTACACCCAATAATGCGTTGGTCACACTGATGGAAACCTGCATATAAATGGCTTCAGCTGTGTTGAAACTGTAGCTGTAGTATATCAAACCCACTAATCCAACATTTCTGTCTATGTTGACACAATTGACACAATTACTCATATACTTAACATTTTGTAAAGGCCTGACTTGAACTCGAAACCTTCACAAGACTAATCTAAATAATATGAGCAAGTTTGAATATACACACAGGCTCATGGAGAATGGGCTCTGGGACTACACCTGTCTTTGAGAAGGTTGCAGTGTTATCCACTTGCTCTGATTCACATTTAAAAGGCCTGAATGAAAAGGTTCCCTTCTCCTCTTAACCGCTTGATTTACAGGCTGTTTGTGGTTTAACGCCACACAAGACAATTGATTTGCTCCTCCTTTCTTGAAAGAAATTGGAATTTCATTTAGAGAAGGTCTTAAGCAGTTTTTAAAGACTTGGTGTCATTTGTTGGGCCTGTGTAAAAGCTGCATTAGAGATTACCCTCCTGGAAAAGCTTTTTAATCCTAGACAAGTGCAGCCATAGTAACGGTAGACAGGAGCCTCTTGGAGGCAGAAAGGTGAAGGGGGACTTTGACAAGATTTATTCTTCTCCTACTGAGACTGTTTCTTTCTTGAGGTCTCCTGCTCCACGAGGAGCATTTGAAAAAGAACCAAGAGGTGGGGGATAGGATAAAGGAGGTATATATTAAGCTTTTCTTTCCTCTCACCACTTAATTTCCTTGCAGGCGCGCCTCGCGCCGTTGTAATGAATGTAATTGCCGCCTTTGATGAGAATGCTATTATCTGGATCACACTTTACATGGGCAAACAAGACTGCCCCTCCCTCTACCTCCACCTCCCATTTAACTCAGCAATGAGACCCCCCAATTATACAGGGAACAAGTGGCTTTTCATAAAGCCAGTGTGTCGCTCTTGATTGGTGAGGCTTGGAGCCGGCTACATGTGCACAAAGGATAGATTAGATTTGATATAGGCACACCAAAAACCCCATTTCCTTGATTAATTTCCTGCATGCCTCACAGAAAGGACCCACTCTCTCCCCGCTGAATTCTATCTCTCCTTTAAAGCAAATTTTCATCTTTTGATAGATTTGGCAACTCAATGGACAAACAGACCTTTTATTGACCTAAGTTTGACCACAGCTGTCTGGGCTTCAGGAGGGAATAGCAGTGAGAAAGAGACATGTTTCCCTTCAGTGAGGGAGGATGGGCTTATTTTTCTTATAAAAAGCTCAGAGTCTTTGTGGTGCTGCTGCCCTCGCCCAGGATCAACTCACTTTTCATGCTGATCTTTTTGTGCTCTCATATCATTACCCTCAGCACACACACACAAACACAGGTTGTTCGCTCATTCTCTCTGTGTCTTTCACACACCCACACACGGACACACAGAGGCACGCTAAACACCCATTTGATAATAGTGGCGAGCAGATATGATGGGACTTTATGAGGCGATGCGCGATAAAGCTGCTGTCACCTTAGGAAGTGTAAGTGTTCTTCTGACTGCCTTATTACCGTATTAAAGCACCACTCGACGCATCCACACACACCTCAGCTTGGCTCTGACAACTCGTCATGATTCTGTCCAATATTCCACCAGGCTGAAATATCGAGAACAATCAAATAGACTGTCACAAGTGACAAATTATACTATTACTCCTCAAAGATTGTCATCCTTGAAATGTATTCATAGCCATTTCTTCTTTATCGGTGAGTGATTACTCCTCTAAGCAAGCAATTCCCCAATGATAAATTGGTAATCAATTCATTTGACTATTATGCTTTGGGAATGGCTCCACGGGATTGGCAGCATTGGTCACTCTTATTCACATGCATATATATATCCAAAACTAACACTCGTAGTGCTGCTGGGCTTGATGGATACTGGCTGCCTGACCACCTGACTCTTAAAGGTTTATTCCATCAGAAACAGGTTGCCATCCGGGCCCAGTCACGGCAGTCAAAGAATTGGCCAATATTTTTGACTGAAGTGCCATTTTAGCTGTATTTATTTGATAGGCCTGCTACCAAAACCACGGGCCACAAATAAAGAAGATGGTATGATAGCTTTTGACTGGCCAGCTCGCTGCCGACTCGAAATGAAGTGTCCAGTTGTGAGTTATCGTGGCCAAACGTCATTTGTACAGCCTGAAAAGTGGGGACATTTTTCTAGCTTGTCACTCTCTGGCTATAGCTCATTGTCCTGAATGATGCCTCTGAACGCACAGTTGCCCTAATACGAGCATTTCACTCTTACCGCAAGAGGGCTCATAATGGATTAGCCTGTCTATAGGAAGATAATATAGTGCGTCCACTGGCACATCTTCAACGGGTCACAGGAGTATCAACTCTCCGCATGTCTGCTCACATCTAGTACTGCTCGTGTTTTCAGCCGTATTTTCATGCTTCTGACTGAAACAAAACAAAGGTCCTTTTTTCTTTTTTGGGCTGCAATTTACGATTACTTGTATGGATAAATCTGCCAATTAGTTTGTAGATTAATTTATCAATTCATTGTTTTGTCAAAATAGCCAAAAAGAATACATTAAAGGATTTTAAAAATAACAAATGCAAAGACATTCATAGTTACATTCACATAAAACATCCATCAAATCCTGCATTTTTGGAATTTTTGATTAAATGTTTTTTTCCCATTTTATTTTCACCGGAAGTGACTTAAAATAAGATGTATGTAAAGAAAACTCCTGAATTAATGATATGATACAGAACGACTACATCTTGTTGTCATGCCTTTTCATTTTATTTCAACAGTTTACAAATATTGTATTGGCAAATATTGAATTGTGAATTTGAGTGAGTTTTTTGTTATTTTAAATGGCAGAATTACAGACCTCCTAAAGGTAAAATACATTTTTCAACTCCTTCATGTTCATATTTTGAAAAGGTACTAAATAAACAAGTTTTTTACAAAGCTAAATTATGTTCAAAGGGATGTTTAAAAAAAAAAAAATCCCTATAATATATTAATATCATGAACAAAACTGGTCTCAGTATTTCTTGGAGAGCTCACAGGTTAAGCAGCTCTAAATTAGCTGTAGTTTTGATCTGTGTATGGAGTAAAGAGGGGCCTGAACTGGACAGTCTTGTTAATGTGAGGGAAGTTTTAGATTAATGAGACTTCTCTGCCTTTTTGAGGGTATTGATCAAACCCAATCTGGCCAGGAACGGTTTGCTCCCCTGCTGTAATATTAATAATGTATCAACATCATGAACAAAACTGGTCCCAGTATTCCTCGGGGAGCTCACAGCACTAACAACTCTAGCACACTCTAAATTAGCTGTTGAGTTTTGATCTCTGTATGGATCTGCTGGAGTGGCTGTTGAGTCTGGGCAAAGAGCGCTCTGAATTGGACAGTTCCGCTAATTTGAGGGAAGTTTTAGATTAGGCAACTGCCCTTTTTAAGGGTATTGATCCAACCCAATCTGGCTGGGAACGATTTCCCATGTTCCCCCTGCTGTGATATTAATGATTAGCAACAACATGAACACAACTGTTAGCTGTGTTCCTCGGGCCACCTACGGGAGGAAAAACTCAAAGATCCAAGATATGTGAGGCCAATTAAAATCTGCTGTTTCATTTTGATCTCTGTATGGATCTGCTGGAATGACTATTGAGTCTAAGAGACTGAAATGGATGGTGTTGCGAATGTGGGGGGAGTTTTAGATTAATGAGCTTTGAAAAGCTTTCAATTATTTGAGTGTAAACATACTTAGGAATTACATTCATGACTAAAATATCAAAATACAGTTCAAGGCATTATATTTTTTGACAAAAGTTTCAAAATAAAACAAACAAAAAGCACCTCAGTAGACTCACAGTTAATAATGAAACCACAAAGACCATAAACCCTTGCTGCCCTGCTGTTCGGTTTGTCCTTTTGAAGTTAGTGACATCACCGGAGGCCGTAACTGCAGATCCTGTTGATGTGTTTGAGTTGTATATGCTGATTTCAATGCAAGGAAATACATAATATTTCAATTTGTAAGTGTGATTCGACCTAGGCAACAACATTATTAAATACCAGAGCATGGAGGGTCTCCAACCACAGTAAAGCCAGTTGGGGACTCCCTCATGTTCTTGTATATGCACATTAACAATAGTATAGAAACAAACATAGAAATGAGTTTCAGCTTCAGCCCCAGAAACACAGCAGCCTCAGTTTGAAGCGGCTCCATCTCTCGCCCTCCTGCAGGCATCGTTAGCCAGACGATGATGGGAGCAA